TCTTCCTGTTGATGTGGAAGTCCCAGGTGTCTCTTCTACCGAGGGCTAAGATTGTGGAAATGCAGCGAAGATGGAAGGCGGACAGCGCCGCAAGCTCGCTTTCAGTGGCACCCAACACTCCGCTCCGTAAAGGAAAAGAGAAGCCACACATGCATCATACACCATTCGCTTCGTTGCCAGTGAAAGATCGCCATCATCAAAGACAGATCGACGCAATGCTCCGAATGCCCTAGATGCTGACGCTATTCGGGACCGAGTGTCCACTGCGGTGCGGCCACCACAGTATGGATGATGTAGCCTAGGTAGCGAAAGTCATGCACATTCTCGACACTTTCCCCGCCAACCACCAATGGACGACGATCCTCCGGAGAAATGCCGAAGCCGACCGCCATTACTTTGGTTTTTGATAGGTTGATGGTGAGGCCGAAGCGAGTTTCGACGTCCATGAACCGGCTGAGTGCAAGTGTGGCACCATGGTGAGTTGTAGCAATAAGTGCAGAATAGTCTGCTAATTGACAGTCACGATGGATGTTGATTGTGTCAGTCTTCTGGCGTTTGAAAAGGAGAGACGGTCCAGAGTTAGAGGAGACGGGAAGTTCCAATCTCAGGTATGTCCGCAACCTCACGCTGCCACAGCTGGAATACTGCCCATATGAATATATTGAACAATACCGGGGTCATACAATGTACAACACGACAGGTACACACACACACACACACACACACACACACACACACAGCCCTAAGGAGTGAAATATGCAGGAATATTTGACTGCTTAGGTATCGGAACTAAATATTGCGACAGAGCTTTCGGCCATATTTTCAATTTATTGCATTCCCAACTCATCACAACCACGCGCTCTTCAGCCGAACCATACAGACACCAGCAAGGACACTTAGGCTAGGTACATGTATCTTAAATACATGAAGGTATCGCAAAAATCTATGGGAGTCAAGGGAGTGATAAGATAAGTACATGACTTTGTAGTGTTTGTACAGATATTCTGTGCTGCCAGTAGCCCTTTTAGCTTTCCCAAGGGTGCTCTTTTAATTCGCACTTTAATAGTGCTTTTCGCGTCCCTCAAAATATGCTGAAAAGTGCTCTTTTCAGTGAAAACAGGCAAAAAGTGCTCTTTTTTCAGTGAAGCATAGCCATGCATGATACATGTTCAGATATGAACCCAAGCTGAGAAATGAATACGCACTCTTCCATTTATGGGTCCACGAAAGGCAAAACCGGAAGTAAAGTTCAAAAACCCACTTTTTACAGCATTGTGTACACCGGGTACAAGCTTCACCAACTAACTACTTACTTGTTGCCCCCCAAAAAGCGGCGTGCCAAGGCCCATCGAGCACTCGGAAACTGTGATCGCATGCTTGAGCAAACAGATTTTAGCACTTTTTCAGCTAAAAAGCTCAAAAAGGGCGATATTCACCAAAAAACGCTATAAAGGGCGAAAGTAACGGACTTTTCCAAAAAGGGCCAAAAAGGGTGAAAAAGGGGCGAGCACCTTTGGGACAGGGCTAGCTACCGTGAACATACCACCTCATACCTTTCCAGGTGCCGACAACAAGCAGCAGACAAGACAGACTGGAAGAAACTGTGCAGCTCGACACCCCAGGAGAAATCAGTATCAGTAGCTACTACACCTAGCTGATGATGCTCACAAGACAGAAGCGAAAAAACACTGAATTTCTTTATTTAAAGTGCTCTACTTCGCGAAATGTGCTATTATTGTTATTATTTTTATTTTTTTAATAACGAAGGTACGTGTTGGGTCGTAAGTATCCACGCAAACACACATCCAGTCAAAATAAGGCACTTGTCAAAGTATCCGAACGTTTTCGGTCCCTTCTCATCAAGGATTATACAGGGAATGGCTCAAGTTGGAAAGACTAAAACTTATATAGCGTAAAGATATGAGATAACAACACTCGTGACAAGGTGGAAAATTATCAAGTTCAGCACGACACAAAACTCGAAGGAAATAATAATAGTGACAAGAACATAGTGAGCAAATTAAGTTACATTGTCACGTGGTAGATGTGCGTTGCATCTGGCTGTGTTAGAAGCTTTGTATATCCGTAAGTTAGATCCTGAGCTTTGCGTACAGAAAGAAAATGTGTTGTCGCTACAATTGTTTGGTGTTACTCCTCGTCGAGGTGTTAACAATGTAACTTAATTTGCTCACTATGTTCTTGTCACTATTATTATTTCCTTCGAGTTTTGTGTCGTGCTGAACTTGATAATTTTCCACCTTGTCACAAGTGTTGTTATCTCATATCTTTACGCTATAATATAAGTTTTAGTCTTTCCAACTTGAGCCATTCCCTGTATAATCCTTGATGAGAAGGGACCGAAAACGTTCGGATACTTTGACAAGTGCCTTATTTTGACTGGATGTGTGTTTGCGTGGATACTTACGACCCAACACGTACCTAGTATTTAGTATTTTAGTATTTATTGCAACATCTCAAGACTCGGCGGAAACACCGGCCAATATTACGAGAGTGGGTGATTGCCAACCACGGCGATAAATAGAAATAAGGGGAGGGAAAAAGAAAGAGTAGCAAAACGAACAGCAACAACAACTCCGTAAAGAAAGATAATGTCAAATAAAAACAGTGAAAAACACAGAGACGCAAAGGACATGTGGATAATGAGCTATGCATGTCGTAGTAAATAAGGGGCGGCACGGATCTTAAACAGGCGGAGTGAGGTCAGGTCCTTAACTTCTCTGGGTAGAGTGAGCCAAACAGAATAAGCAATAAAGAGAGGGGAGCGCAAAAGAGTGGATGAGTTACACTTAGGGAGTAAGAGCGAGTTTCTAGTTCTTAGAGAAGAGAACCAATTAAAACACATGAGATGAGGTGGGCACAACTCAAGCTTAATAGAATGGACAAGAGAAGCCAGGTGTGCACTGCGTCCATGTGATAACGGGGTTGTGTGAGCGATTTTATAAAGGGCGGATGATGAGAGCATGCGGGGTTGATGGAGGAGAATTTTAAGGATTTTCTTGTGATGTATTTCAAGCTTTGCAGCAGCGGAAGAGGATAACCCAACCCAAGACGTATCTGCATAATGAAATATTGGGCGAAGGTAGGCTAAATAAAAAAGAAGCTTGCAAGAAAGTGGGAGGTAGGAGCAGTGGGGGGAGAGAATTCCTAAGGATTTACTTGATTTTTACAGATATATTCGATGTGAGGTACCCAAGAGAGTGCAGAGTCAATCACAATGCCAAGGTGTTTGTGAGAAGACACTATGTCAATAGGATTTGGAAAGTTGGCATGGATGAGGGTTGTGAACTCCGGCTGGGGCGGGAAGAGCATGATCTTTGTTTTTGATAGATTTGGGGACAACCTCCAGGACGACATCCAGGAAAGAACTTCCTGAATGCCAGCACGCAAGTTGTTTTTCAGGCCAGTGAGGGAAGCTGATGAGGTGAGAAGGGTCGTGTCGTCAGCAAACAGAGACGTTCCAGGGAAGACTGCAGGTAAGTCGTTTACGTAAATTATAAATAGTAGGGGACCAAGAATTGATCCTTGAGGAACGCCCGACAATACTGGCTCTGCAGCCGAGGATGTGCCAAGCACAGTTACATGTACGTACTGATAACGCCCAGAGAGATAAGATTTCAGCCAGGAGAGTGGTTGTTTGCGTACCCTGAATGCATGCTCGAGCTTTGCCAAAAGTCCTCGATGCCAGACGGTATCAAAAGCCTTGGCCAAGTCAAAGAAGCAAATGCCAGCAAGCGCTCTGTTATCCCTATGCTGGCACACCTGCTGCACGATGCGGGTCAGTTGTACCTTCGTTATTAAAGTATTATCCGCCTCCGACTTCTTGTAAAATTATTATTATTATTATTAGGCCATCATTTTTTATATCTATGTTTCGCGTCAGTTCAACTTCCAGAGTCATATGCGAGAGGTGGAAAAAAATAAAAAGTTGCAAAATAATAAAAAAAGGCTCATCAGAGGTGTATGCACTGTACATAGCACAATTCTCGTGCATGGTGTACATTCGAGAGAAAAATCGTACATCGAAGCACAACATCTGGGTTATCAGCATGAGTAAATATTCACTTTGGACAGAGGAGGCAACCGTTGGTGCCCATGCTTCGCTGGATTATTGTACTGAGACTTCAGCAGCGGTGCAAAGAGCTCCGGAACGACGCATCCTCTCAGCTTGAGGCGATCAATGCGGTCTTGTGTAAGCTCATAGAATATTGCTCCCAGATGCCGAACAAACGATTTACCAACGCTGGCCTAGAGGCCATTTCTGAATCCCAGCTTCGCCGCGCCGTATCACAACCAGTCCACACTGATGACTCGCACAGTCGTACACTCACTGTGCATGTTCGATTTTTTATTTTTTTCCGAAAAAAAGTCAAAACGTATGCGTGCGGACGACGCGAAACATTATAAAGTGCCGGATTAGAGAGGGACGACTGTAGTACCATGACCAGATGATGACTACTAGTACTAGTACTACAATGTACAATGTACCAGGCATGCATTGTTATGCATGAAGTGCCATGAACATACCACCTCATGCAAACAATGGATTCCCGGCATGCAGCACACATCGCGTACCGCGGTACCAGTGATGACGTCAGCGTAGTCTGACATGAGTAAAACCTGGCACTGGCAGCATGGCGCATGGCATATATACTGTGCATGTGTCGGCTTGGCCACTGCACTCTCCGGGTAGTACAGTGTACTACCGGTGTAGCCATGCCCATGCCCAGGCCATGGCATATGGTCCGCGCGACGTTGGGTAGATGTAGATGTGCATGATTGTACCGGTCCAGGCAAAAGGGCAGGGCACTGACAGTCTGACATCATGCATGGGCCTGGCCTGGCCCTGGCCTGGGAAAGCATACAATAAGACTCCCTGAGATGTACACTGCACTGACAAGTCTGTACAGTGAGCCGTGAGCTAGGTCGGTGCAGCATGCTGCCTAGCATAGCCGCTAGCGAATAGCCGGCATGGCATCTTCCCTTTGCTGGCGCTGGCGTGTGCACGAGACGGATGATCTGATTGTGTACAACTACAAGAGTAAGAAAAAAATTTCAAAGGCACTCGTCGCGTGTGTGCATCTAGATTCTTGCTGCTGTGAATCGAGCTAGCCTAAACTGAACGTCCGAGGCATTCTTGTGTGTTGGTGTGCTAACTTCTCCTTGTAATGGCTACTTCCCATTGGAGCAGAACTAACGGCCATCGCCTTGGCGCCCCAGGGGAAGACGAATCGACGGCAACGCAAGAAACAGCAGCAGCGGACCCGTTATCCTCTCCGCACCGAGCCAAGGAGGAGTGCACGCTAACAGCGGAGCGTCTCATCGCTGGCATCCTATCATACAATCTGGAGCAAGCGGGCAGTGTAGATCTACCGGAAGGCCTGAGAACGCGAGGCGAGGCCACGGCCGCCGAAGTCACAAACTCCACGGCAAACGCTGCTGCTGGTGTACAAGACGCAAGTTCATCAGCACGACAACAGCCAAGACTGGAACGTGAGCAGCCAGTAGTAGCAGCAGCAGCAGAAACAGTACGACCGCCGCCTGGCAGCAAAGGTAGCAATTTATATCTACTCGTGCTACACCTGACGAAAGACGTTCAGAGAAAATACGATGGCATGTTTCAGAATATGATGGAGGAGCTGCGCCCTTCGGCACAGACTGCATATCCGCAGTTTCTTGGTGTGACGGAGGGCATGTTCCGCGAGGAGATCACCTACGGTCGTATTCTCGCGCTTATTGTCTTCTGCAGCGAGCTAGCGCTGTATTGCATGGAGCAAGCGAGTCTAGGTGCTGAGTTCATCACGAGCGTTCTCGCCTGGTTCGTGCGCTATTACGATGCGAAATTAGCACAATGGATGGCGGAACACAACGGTTGGGTAAGAATTTTGTATGTCGTGGATCGCTGTGCGGCGTCTTAGCGCGTGTGTCCGGCGTGAGCGCACCGCGCTTGTCTCTGCGTACGTGTTTGTTCCTTGGCGTGGTGGTCAGCGCCATTGTTTGTGCGTTGTGGGTCCCTTGCGCCGTTATCAATGAATCCCATTAGTAAAATGCAAAAAGCTTGATCATTGAAAACAGAAAATATTTTTCCGTAAAAAATATCGTTGTTACGTAGTTGTTTGCAATGACATCATGCGGATGCACCTTGTGACGACAGGTGCTGTGTAGACGTACAAAAGTTGTGTAGCGTGTTTCTAACGTGCACATCTGCAGACTAGACCGTTCAATCACAAAGCTTGGAGTTACGAAAGAAAAGCTGCCCATGCACTACAGTGGAGCAGAGCTCTGTGTATGTTCGGCACATTGAACACTGCACTGCAAGGATGCTGATGCAATGCATAGCCATGGGGCAGAAAGAAATCCGACCCTCGAGTCAACAGCAGTGCCGCTTTTCCATTTCGATTACATCATGCACGGATGAAAAACCCGTTCGAGGGCCGCATGAACATTGGCACTGCTTTAGCGTGTGGGTCGGTCTGCTTAAGCGTGTGGGTCGGATTTCTTTAGGCGCGGCTGTAAGTGTATGTGTGTATGAACGTAGCGGTAGTCATAGTTACAGGCGATGGTATCGTGCTGGAGCTGCTGTGTGTCGCATGCCAGACGACGGCATGTCTACACCACTGAGAGAAATGAATCTGTATCCAGCCGCGTTGTTCTGCAACATGCGCCTTGACCACTACTAGTAGAGTAAAGTACCGCCAGAGCGTCCCACCATCTCATCCGTTCGTGGTCGTATTGTGGAGGTTGTCTGCTGTCTGTAGGTCATACGACATGAACCTTGTACACATGTAGCACGTTCTGCAGTCAATCCGTACCTTCGAGAGGTCACAAGCTCCACACAAAACCTGCCAAGCGTGACCTTAGTACACTAAGGTTCTCACATCGTACAAACTTCGTTGCACTCTGCCATACGATTTTCCTTTCTCTGGCTGTAAAATCAAGGTGGGGCGCTCTCGCGAGACGGGGCGCTCTGGCGCTACTTTACGGTAGTACTGCATGTTGTTCTCATGGTACAATGCAAGCCTTGCCTGATACAGTAAAACCTGGTGTAGGCGACCTCTGGGTTTAGCGACCACCTGGTCTTAACGGCCGTTTTTCCATGCCCCAACAGTTCTACACAGATCGTGTGGGACCTGGTTCTAAAGACCACCTGGCTTTAACGACCGCTTTTGCTTGCACCGTGGGGTGGTTGCTTAAACCAGGTTTAACTGTAGGTAACATGTTTTCACGGTGACAGCGTGAAACAAGGCGACGACGCACTAGTGTATGGCAAGACCGAAACTCTACCAACCGGTTTATGGTCGTGGTCAGGTGCACTGTTTCCCATACAGTGCGTTCTCGCCTTGTTCACGCCATCACCGTGAAAACACGCATTATTCCTAGCACCTTTCTCAGTAGGACTGTGTTCATAGCAAGAACATATCTTCCATGCACTCGGCGGCTGCGATTGTCTTGAAAGCTGTTGTGTGGAGAATATTGTTACAGGTCCAGCTTGCCAAGCATGTGGCTAAGTCACTTAGTCATAATTATGCTTGGCAAGCTGAAATTGTTGCCTGAAGCTACGGTTAGGGGACGTCTCCCATCTTCGCCTAGACCATAGGACTGTTACTGTCGAGAGGTCTACCCCTCCCCCCCCCCCCCCTCCCCCACCCCTCCCCCCTGCGCACTCGCATTGGTCTTAGCTGTAGTAATATCAGGACCGCCGGAAGCAGTTTTCACCTGGTCCGGCCATACCTAATTCATGGCATGGTAGCTACAAAGTTGGTCCGGTGTTAGTGTTAATCAGACTGACAGGACAGGTTCCGGCTGGCCTGAATGTGACTGCATGTAGGGAAGTCTCTACTCCCCCCCCCCCCATACACATGCATTGCCATTGACGAAGCTGTAGTAATGTGAGTGTAGGGAAGTCTCTACTCCCCCCCCCCCCCCTCCCAATACACATGCATTGCCATTGGTCTAAGCTGTAGTAATGTGAGTGTAGGGAAGTCTCTACCCCCCCCCCCCCCCCCCCATACACATGCATTGCCATTGGTCTAAGCTGTAGTAATGATAATGTGAGTGTAGGGAAGTCTGCCCTCACCTGTGTAAACTGTTACTTTCTGCGGCTGACCAATCGCCTGTGCCTGTGGCTGTGGTCTAAATGCTGCACCTGACCCATCACACACACATACCCAGGTTTATCGATGACATCATACCCAGTATTCCATGATGTCATGATGTAGTCCCCTGTGTAGTGTGTATGTGGGCAGGCTGTGTAGGCTGAGCAATATAGCTAGAAAGCAATGTGTCTACATGAAGTCTGCTTTGAACCCAAACACCAGAGTCAATAAATTATTGCATACATGGTACATGTCGTGCTGCACACATGCAGTCTGAACATTCCCATGAACACCCGGTCAGTACGTGTTGCACACATGCAGTCTGAACATTCCCATGAACACCCGGTCAGTACGTGTTGCACACATGTAGTCTGAACATTCCCATGAACACCCGGTCAGTACGTGTTGCACACATGCAGTCTGAACATTCCCATGAACACCCGGTCAGTACGTGTTGCACACATGCAGTCTGAACATTCCCATGAACACCCGGTCAGTACGTGTTGCACACATGTAGTCTGAACATTCCCATGAACACCCGGGTCAGTACGTGTTGCACACATGTAGTCTGAACATTCCCATGAACACCCGGTCAGTACGTGTTGCACACATGTAGTCTGAACATTCCCATGAACACCCGGTCAGTACGTGTTGCACACATGTAGTCTGAACATTCCCATGAACACCCGGTCAGTACGTGTTGCACACATGCAGTCTGAACATTCCCATGAACACCCGGTCAGTACGTGTTGCACACATGCAGTCTGAACATTCCCATGAACACCTGGTCAGTACGTGTTGCACACATGCAGTCTGAACATTCCCATGAACACCCGGTCAGTACGTGTTGCACACATGCAGTCTGAACATTCCCATGAACACCCGGTCAGTACGTGTTGCACACATGCAGTCTGAACATTCCCATGAACACCCGGTCAGTACGTGTTGCACACATGCAGTCTGAACATTCCCATGAACACCCGGTCAGTACGTGTTGCACACATGCAGTCTGAACATTCCCATGAACACCCGGTCAGTACGTGTTGCACACATGCAGTCTGAACATTCCCATGAACACCCGGTCAGTACGTGTTGCACACATGCAGTCTGAACATTCCCATGAACACCCGGTCAGTACGTGTTGCACACAAGCAGTCTGAACATTCCCATGAACACCCGGTCAGTACGTGTTGCACACAAGCAGTCTGAACATTCCCATGAACACCCGGTCAGTACTGACACTACACTCTGTGTCACTGATGTGTCTTGCCTAGTGGCAGTAGTGCGTATGCAAACAATGTTCCCATTCTTGCACGCTTCCTTCCTGGAGTGTTGCTGCTGCTGCTCCTGCTGCTGTGAAGTTCACATGCCCATAGTTGTCTGGGTGGCTGACAGATGTGCACATGCACATGCGTGCACACCTGCCAGTTTATGGGGCTGTACTGTTGCTAAAACACCACGACTTCTGCACTAAAAGCTCGCACATGGTGTGGTGATGACAGAGAAGGTGTGTGTGTGGGGGGGGGGGGATGAGTAGCAGAGAATGCAAGCATTCACAGCATGCATTGCACTGCACATGTCATGATGTGGAGCCCCCCCCCCCCCCCCGCCATGTGGATGGATGGGGGGGGGGGGGGGGCTACATGTAGCAGGGCCTGCTCTAGACATTCAACACAGCCCGGTCAGAGTGCATGCAGGCCAGCCGGGTCAAGCCGGGTCAGTCAGATCATCCGGCAGAAAAACAACCAAAAAGCCTGCTCAAAACTTGCAACTGTGTCAAAAGCTTTACTATAGCCTATAGCCAAAGTTACGCTTTTGACTGCCTGCCCCATCGACTTTCAATGTCCTGACTTCTTGCTCGCCGCTGGCCAGATCGCGCTCAAACCAGTTGACCCCAGTTGACCCTGGCCGAGTTTCTGTCGCTTGTAGACTGTAGTGTGTATGGTTGCGCTAGATTTGCAACAGATGGGGTCCGCGAGTCGTAAAATACCGGTATTTTAGGAATCCATTGTCAGTTTGAGACATTTTTCAGCCGGGTCAGACTGGACCCGGTGGTATCTGTTCAGCCAGGTCGTGCAGTTCCCCAGCCGGGCGCGTGACCCGGCTGACCCGGCTCTCCAGCAGGCCCTGATGTAGTAGCAAGAGTGTATGACTGCCCAAGAGTGTGCAACTCCGCATATGGGGTCTCTGACAGCGAAAACTCACATCATGTGTCTCAGGCACGTTTCGTACTGCGTACAAATGAAGGATAGCGTGCGCGCAATCCGAATGTCTGCCATGATCATGCTGGGGATTTGCAGTGAGTTTCTGTCAGAGAGTGCTTTTTTGTATTACTCCGCTGCTCGCTAAAAACGGGCTGGAAACGTACAACTGGGACACTGCACCACGTGATGTGAGTTTTCGCCGTCGGCGAACCCCTTGGAAAGGGTATCAGGAGTTGCATACTCTTGGGGGGTTCTATACTCTTGGTAGTAGTGAGTGCAATGGTCTGGGAAAATGGGAAAGTGACCAACCAGTGCAGCCTGTGTTGTATTGTATTTTATTATT